ATCATCATCTTTATTCTCACTCTTGTAACAAGGATCGTTTGCCATGATTGGTTGACATGATTTATCAAACAATCGTCTTGTTTCTTTATCATTGAGGTCGGAATAGTCTGGATCACATTCAGACAAAACTTTTGTTTCGCATTCCAAAACATCATATACGAAACAACAAAAATTCCAACTTTCAGTGTACTGTGTGTTTGAGACAAAAAAAAACATATTATGATTTGACTTGAGGAATAATTACTGAATCAACTTACATAATGTTTAAATGTTATTTGCCATTTTCCAATGGCATTTATTTGACAAATTCGATATTTGTCGTCGGTCGTTTGAATATCATATCTCCCTATACATCTTTTTGGTACACCATATACTGTTTTATATGGTATCATATTATTATCAAGTGATTTTTTATCTTGAACATTATTAGCGACAATCATTTGAATGAAATAATAACAAAATAAAATAGTATTTTTCTTCATAAACATAATAGTATTCATATATAAACTCATTCACAAAAAAAAAATTACAAAAAATAAAATAAATGTTTTTTTTTCAATTCTGATTATGATTTTTATATGTTTTTGTTTTCACTATTGTTATTGGATTTCAATTACGAATTACGAATTACGAATTACAATTGAATTTCGAACATTTTGTTTTTCAAATTGAATAGTTATTTTTTTCTCGAATTTTTTCTTAAAGTTTACAACAACAACAATTTTACAATTTTCCAAAAAAAAAAAAATTCTTGAAATGTTTGTTATTAAAAAAAAACTGTACATCATGAATATTATTCAATGTATGTTGAACATATAATATGGTATATTCGAAATTTCAATAATCATTTTTTTTCACTAATGCAAAACCATCGGTTATAATCATATATGATGGAATTAAAATTATCATTTTCTTTAATCATTTTGGATAAAATTTAAATAATAATAATTTTGAAACAAATCTTTAACCAAAGCCCATTTAATTTTTTATAATAGAACTTTGAATGGCATTGAATTTTATAACGACGCACATTTGCTTGAATGTAAAAACAAAAACGACGCATATTTGCTACTGCGGGCTCAAAATAAAGAACTCAAACGACGCACATATGCGTCGCTGGTAGCGAACGTGTTAATATGAATTTTATTTATTTTATCTTCGGTAATCAATATTGTAAAATACACACACACACAATGAATTTTATGAATTTTATTTTAATTTTAATTTTATTATTTTAAATAAATAAATAACAAATTTTTTAATTTATAATTGTTGACTATAATCAGTAAATTGATTTCCTGAAATTTGTGTTGCTGTTTGTAAAATTGCTTGATTAACTGATCTTTGCATTCGTTTTGACAACGAACCAGTATTGGATGATTTTGATGATATTGTTGATGTTCTTGGAAGACCACTATATCTTGAGTATTTTTCTTCGGATGGTACGGCCGTAATTTCTAACGTATTGAGCATTATGTTTAATAATGGACTAGGATTTGGCAATTTTTTTTGAAAATTATTATATGATTCAAGCGCTAAATTCATTAAATGCATATTTGTCTTTCCAGTTTCTAATGTAGAGAATCGATTATGTGAAGGATCATAAAAATATTTTCCTTTAGTTGCATAAAGCTCTTTTAAAAACCAAACATAATAATCGACTGGTTCATTGTATATTTTTGGTCTAATGACAGAAGCATAGTAAAGAAAATCTTCTTGTTCTGCACTTATAAGTGGATTTTGACCAAGTACTACTTTTCTTCTAAAGTTGGATATTGGATATTCAGGTTTATCTGGTTCATCAGATAATCTTTTTTTAAAAATATCTAAAAATTTTGTTAAAGTTTTACGATCGCTTTCACTTAGATTTCTAGTTGCTGAAAAGTGATTGATTTCATTCATTATTTGTGCTCGATAACCTTTATGTTCTGATTTCGATTCATTAATACTTTTCTCTATATAATATTTATACGTTCCATCCATGAGTAGTCCAAATTTATAAATATCGTTTTGAAAATTTCCATCCACTATATCCTGATATAATGGTTTAAAATATTCATCTCTAAATAATATTGCCTCTTTTGTTTTGCTAATATCTAATTTAGCTAATCTTTCGAATTCAATCATCTCTTTAAGAATCGATGATCTGTATTCATTTTTTTCAGAACTTTGATCAATCGCTTGACTTACAATAAACTTTTCTTCATTCGTTAATATTGGTTCAATACGATATTCTAATGGTTCTAAATCTACTTCATTTTTGTTTCCAAATCTAAATAATTTTTTAATCTTTTTTCCTAAACCAGATTTCGCTTTCTGTTCATCTTCTGGAGCATTTTCTGATTTAAATTGTTCGATTTGCTCTTTATACTTTTCAAATAATTCTTTTTTAATATCTTTTTCGGTATTTTTTCTTTTATTTTCATCTTTTCCAAATCGATTAATTTGTTTATTAATTCTTTTCTTTTTTGACTTCAAATCATCTTTCATTATATCTTTTGCTTTTATTATTCTTTCATCCATCTCTGTTAGTTCTTCTTTCTTTTCTTTTTCGCATCTTTTATGTTCGCATGCTAAACAATGATCGTACTCAATTCCCAAATTTGCAGCTTCTTCTCGATCAGCATCCCGTTCCATCAAATATTCAACTTTTGCTAATCTTGTTTCCCAATATTGATAAATTTCTTCTCTTTTATCTTTGAGATCATAATATTCATATCTGATACCATTTTCGTATATTTTCTCTGCTATTTCCGAGTATATTGGTATTTTGTTTTCTGGTTCAGAAATTTCGGTGGTGGTGGTGGTGGCGGTGGTTGAAATATTTTTTGATTTTTGTTTCGTTTCTATTTTTTTGTACAGCGAAATTTTTTGTCGTTTCATTTCTGGACGTAGAGGTTGAGTCATATTAATTATTTCATCATCATCATCATCATCATCAAAAGGAAGAAATGGTTTATTAAATCGCCATTCTTCTAGATTATTGTAATCTTCATCAGAACCAGTCTCCTTAAAACGTTTCCGTAGAGCTTTGTATTCTTTTTGCCATTCTTTAAGGTTCATTGCATGTATTCTTTTTATTTCTGCTCTTTTTCTTTTTGCTTCATTTATATAAACTTTCTCATTTTCGTTTTGGCAAACTCTTTGCTGTTCTTGTAATATTGTTTGTCGTTGTTGCTGTTGTCTTGATCTTTGCTGTTGTTGTGATATTGGTTGTTCTTGTCGTTGTAGAGGAGTAGTCATATCAATTATTTCATTACCTTCATCATCATAAAGCCGTGGTTTATTA